AGAACTTCAAGTTCCAGGACACAGGGTGCTGCACTGGGACACGGGGTGTTACTCCCAGCTCTGTCACTGACTTACTATGTGACCTTGGGAAAGCTTTTAGATAGACCAGGATAAAAGATTTTGCATGGAAACTTGCACAGTATCTGCCTATCCTATTGCAATCTAGACAGATCAAATATGTGTTTTTGTGAGCCTAAAAATTATTTGACAATTGAAATTTAGAAATAACTGAACAATGATGTCATGGCAGAGAGCAAAATAACTGATAATTTTAAACTCACCTTACATTATAGTTACTCTTTGAAGAATGACTAAAAATTGTATAGGCCCATATTCTCCAGAGTTACATACACCTCTACCCCGATATAATGCTGTCCTTGGGAGCCAAAAAATCTCACCGCGTTATACGTGAAATCGAACTTGCTTTGACCTGCCGGAGTGTGCAGCCACACCTCCCTGGAGCACTGCTTTACCACGTTATATCCGAATTCGTGTTATATTGGGTCGCATTGTATTGGGGTAGAGGTGTATTTGCTTAACTTTATGAACTGTGAGTAGTCATTAACTTCCCTGGGACTGCTCTCAGTGCATAAAGTTAAGCATGTGCATATATCAAGGGGTAGCCGTGTTAGTCTGTATCCACAAAAACAACAAGGAGTCCGGTGGCACCCTAAAGACTAACAGATTTATTTGGGCATAAGCTTTTGTACTGACTCAAAACCAAAAAGCCTTTCTACTATTTCTATAAAGTCATGCCAAACCGAAATTCTGCAGTCTTGTTTTTCCCTCCCAGGAGTTCCAAATTGCAAAGTAGCTTGTCTGTCATTTATAATATTGAAACAATGAAAAATTCAGTGGCACATTGTGCATTGGGTTGTCAACCCTCCAGGATTGTCCTGGAGTCTCCAGGAATTAAAGATTAATTATGTCATGTGAGGAAACCTCCAGAGTATGTCCAACCAAAACTGGCAAGCCTAATTGTACATAACTGAAAACATGGCTTCACATAAAACTGTCAATGTAAAATATTGGATTGAAATAACTTGTTTGCCTGTAGTTGCAATGCCATCTCCTCTTTTCCAGAACACTCATGAATATTGTCAGCAGAATCTGTCTTTTGTGGTAGCAGTAGAAAAGGAAGTCCCTTGCATCACAGAGCTGAAGTGCTTTATTCCATTTCTGTGCTTGTATTTCTTCCAGCTTTCTCTAGCAGAAGAATGAATCTTCAAAATAGATGATGCAACAATAAAATAAGCTACTCAAGGTAGACAGTGGAAAACTACCAAAGAGGCTACAGCAAGATAAGCAGTCTAAGAAATCTGGTACAATTTGAGCAATCATAATTTTAAATGCAAAGTCATTTCTGTATGATGCACATAGTCAGTTTTATCTTTAATACAATCTGTTAAAAATAAACTCATCCAGTAATATTTGTATTGGAATTTAATTGTCCAATAACCTTGTGACATGCACTGCAAACAACTCCATCATTTGTAATGGAAGTTCAGACTGCCAGATAGAAAACCTCAAAATTAAATGTTTTCAATAAAGAGCATAACTGAGTGCATTGTATACTTGGTTTAAAATAAAGGCTACAAGAAGTTACATTACGATCTAAAAACAAATCAACATTTTAGATAGTTAAATTAAGCTTTTAAAACCTGTGTATGTTATCTTGACTATTAAATAAATACAAGAGCAAGTAAAATTCAAGGGAGTAGCACCAAGATATACATTGTATGAACTGGCACTTCCCTCATCTAACCAATTGTCTAGACTTGGCATTCTGTGTAGTAGGGAAAATGCCTTTTATTTCCATGACTTATCCGACCAGCACCATCAAAGTTTGCTACTCAATTTTCTCTTAAAATATAAAGTTGAACTATACATGTTGAAACAAGTAAACTATCCTCCAAAAGTTGCTGAAGACAATAAATGTTGCTAATGAGACTTGAGCTGAGATAAGATCCTGTTATATTTTTACTGTAGAATATTTGTGATCTAAAGTATTCGGTGAGGAAAAGCTCTCTTACATGCCCATCAGTTTCCCAATATGAAAACAGGAAGCAACTCACTAGACTTTAGCACAGGAAGAAAACAATTTTGTCTCAATGCTAAATTTAAATCTAGTAAGCCGCACAAAGCAAGGAATTATTGTGAGATGACAAAGTAAATGCCTCATCTCCACAGAAGGAAAGATGTCTTATAAGGTGCTCCTTGATAAAAATACAGTACGTCTCAAGCAGGCAGAGTTGGAGGACTTAACCAAAAGAAAGAGTTTTCTTTAACATCAACTAAAATGTAGTGCCTAGTTAAAGAATTATTTTGTAATGACCTGCATAATATAAGCTACATTTCATAGTAGGTTTGTTTTCTGTGCTAGACCAATAAGGGTTGCTTTAAACTTAACTAGGTGGGGACATTGTTATTAACTGTTGGCATGGACCTCAGAAAGAAGTAAGTTAATTGAGTTCACTAGGCTGACTCCGAAGTGAGGTAACTGCTTAAGATCCTAGCCATAGGCAAAGGGAGTGAAAAGGGCCGTCGGTGCTGACCAGTGTCAGGAAAACAGTTGAAGTTTAAGTTGCCTGGACATTGCTGCGCAGGTATTTCCTTTCGTTACAGTCAAGATTATCTTTTGGTCCCTATTAATTGATGTAGTAACTTACCTTGATAGATTTTCAGAAATGGACACTATCTTTCTTAAAGTTTTAGGTTTTCCTCCAAATCCAATGTGATTTATTTTCTTCAAATCAGCAATGCAAACAGTTCTATGCATTTTTGCAAATATTTTAAAAAAATCAGGATACAAAATATCTACAATACATTAAATAAGTGAGCTATCAATACAGGTCAAACCCTATGTCCACTCATTTTCTTGAACTTTCAGTGAGTCTTGTATGATCCTTTTAAGGTCTTGGTTCTGTGGGAATGTGGTGGAAATGGAAGAGACACAAGGATATTTTATATTGCCTTCACTACCCTCTCATTTTTATACCAAAGGATTTTAGCTCGGATACCTCCCCCAGTGATCACCACTTGTATTGCATGGGGAGAAGTTGGTCTCTCAGGTATGCAGGTCTCAAAATATTTAGAGTTTTATAGGTCAAAACATTTAAACGTCAGCCTGAGGACTAACCAAAAGCCAGTGAAGATTGTGGAACAAGGTTGCGATATGCTCTCTACTGGAAGAGCCACCACTTATGGGGGCAACAACATTCTACACCATTTTAAATTTCTGAATTGTCTTATGTATATTTGTGTATTAATATACTCTTATCTCAAGAGAAGTGGCATAGGTAACTACAGTGAGTTCAAATCCAAAAGAAAATACAAGTTGCACAGAAGAAGTCTGTATAAGTAACAACTTTATTGTAACTTGATGTGCTGAAATGCAAAAAATATTTTCAGCAACAAGATACAAAAAGTATTTCACCATTAACATCAGCTGATAAAAATGCTGGATGGTTTGATGCAAGTGTTCACATATCTGAATTCTCTTAATCATTTCCACCTCAAAACAGGTCTACATCATTTCATTAGTTTCATTTCTAAAATAGGACGCATTTATTTTAAGCCTTCTTTTTGAAGTCTCAAAACCCAGGATTAGCTAGGTTACAGAGAGTGATGAAGCCTACCAATACAAACACTTAAAAAAATGAATTCCCTTTCCAAACTAAGTCCATTTATTGCAAACAAAAGCCAAGTTGTGAGACTAATTAAGACAGAATATAAACTACACACCTACCATGAGATCAATGCCAGTTAAGAAAAAAGTTAATAGTCAATTTTAGTGTCAATTAAAATTAAGAATATTTAATTTGGGTAAAGTGTAGATTTTAATGTTAGTTCTGATAGCTATTAGTTCTCTCTCAGTTTGCACTCTGGTATCTTCTATAACAACGGTCTTGTTCTATGAGGGTAAGCAGTACATAGGCCTTACACGGTCTCTACACCCAGTGGTGAGTTTCACTCTAAATATTTAAATCACTATGAGAATCAAATACTTGAAGTGTAAGACCCAAATCACCCCAGATAACTTAAACCTTCCTTTGTGTTTGCAATTTCCACATTTAAGAAATCACAGAACAAACAAAAAAAATCAGACTGTAATCATACAACCAGTATTATTTTTTTGCAGGAGACCATTATCTAATACACAAGTCTGTAAACCTTGCTAAAAGTTATAGTATTTATTATCCAGACAGTAATCTGAATTTAAGAACCAAATAAGAACCAAGCAAAACATGGTGGAGTTCAAATCAATATTCCATAACTTGTATCTACCTCAACTCCAATTATTTTTGTACCAAACAGCATTCTCCTTAAGAACTTGTAAAATACCTTTTTTAAAGATTTAATATCCTATTAATCTTGTATTCATTGCAAAGGTATCCTAGAAAAGGCACTCTGTGTTCATACTTCAGAATGCAGTAAATGGACTATAAAACAAGGATTTTTTTTAAACTTCATCCATTCAAAACACCTCCCCAGAAAAAGTCCAAATGGAAAAATGATGTAATCAGCTCTACCATCATTCCAACAGTGAACTGAGTGCTTATTTTTAGAAAGTCGTTAAAAAAAAAAAAGACTACCACACAAAATCGCAGCTACACACACACACACACACACACACACACACACACACAACAAACATGCGTACGGTTACCTA